CATTCAAATGCACATGCGTGCAATGCATAAATTTGAATATACTTAATATACTCCTGGGAGAACATTGTTATAGTCTAAAAGGCATAGAGTTCGTCTTATTTAATGAAGCTTACAGGGAATAAGGCACCAAAAGGGAGTTGGGGAGCGTTTGGGGAACATCTGTAACGGTTCCCGTTACAATTAGCCCTAGTTACTTTTAGTTTTAAAAAAATTAAAGCTTAGAACTATAAATCATGATTTTATCTTTCTTTTTCAGTCTGCAGTTCATGATCATGATTATCTCTCACTACCTTTCACTGAGTATTGGGTTGATGAAGCGTTGAAGGTACATGTACTAAGTGTTCAATACTTTGTCAATTGTTTATTAAAAAAAAACTTTATCAGAATAATCACTTTGTGTTTTGAAAAACATTAAAATGACCCACCAAAATTTATTTGCATAATGAAAAAAATATTCACAGGTGAATGATTTGGAGAGAGAGAAGATAGAAGTTGCAACACGCGGGCAATCGACTAACAAAAAATGGTTTGGAGAGAGACTAACTGCATCTAACTTTGGACAAATATCCCATATGACGGACAGGCGAAACAAGGACAAATTATGTGAATCAATATTCTCATCAAAGCAGATTAACTCTTTAGCAACATTGCACGGTAAAAATTATGAAAGGAAAGCTATAAAATGTTTTGAATCTGAATACAAAGTTAAAGTTAAGGGATGTGGCTTTTTTATTTACACAGAAAAACCATTTCTTGGTGCTTCCCAGATGGAATTATTGACGATATGCATATTGTTGAAGTTAAATGTCTATATTTAGGTCGAAATGTAAATATCGAATTAAAGTGTCTGAAGTATTTTAGGTATTTAGAGCAAAAAAATGGGGTCATTCAACTTAAGAAATCATCAAATTATTATGATCAAATTCAAGGTCAATTACCTATCACTGGAAGGCAATTTTGTTATTTTGTAGTTTATACTTTTAAATCACTGTTTGTAGAAAAAATTGAATTTGACCAGGAGTATTGTAAATTTTGTTTAGTTCCTAAACTAGATCTGTTTTATAGAAAGTGGTTCCGACCATTTGTTGCTTCACAGTTGTATGCAAAATACTCTGGTAATTCTTGCAGTGCAAAATATTGAATGCATTTTATAAGCCTACCATATTTATTATATTGCTGCCAGGAAAACATATTGTGCTGACATTCATTGATCAACTCTTTGTAGACATTAATTGCTGTAAAATTATTTAAGGAATCACTGTCTAGTTAGCATATAGTGTCATTGTGAAATAAAATTGTACATATAAATTTATAAAATGTAGATTTTAAAATGTAGACTATTAGATTTAAATTACTTCCATGTCAATTTCAAATGTACCCACCCACTGACATCAAACACAAAGACAATCGCACAAGATTTACATGCATATTTAGGCCTCCTTAGCTCTTGACCTATTGATTTGCCAAATTTACATTCTGGTAGAATTATCAAGAAATCAACTCCACTAACCTTCAACAAGTTATCAAAGAGAAAACAAATAGAAATGGAAATATAAAGAAATTAACTCCACTAAACTTCAAAGAGATATCACAAAGAAAAGATACAGAAATGGAAATACCCAGTATTTCATTAAAATGTTTAAAACGAGTTTATTTATTTTGTGGGTCTAGTCACTTTATGGCAAATCCCCATTGAAAACAACATTTATTTTCTGTAAACTGATGCCTTTGCAAAAGGAACCTTTGTGTATTTTAGACTGTTTTAAGTCTTAGTAGATGGACATTTTGTGTTCCCATTACAGCATTTGTATGTACATGCATATACACTGTAATAAATATGTATGTGAAGATTAATGGTTTCCTTATTTTGTTTCCATAAAAAATTTTGAAAGAATTTACATTGTAATACATGATTTATTTCATAGTCTTTCTTCAATCCAAATCAAACATATATCAGCAAGTTCCATTAAGGTACTCCAATCCTCAGGTTCTGAAAATCAGGCATTGACTTATCCACTATTAGAAAATGCTCACAAAAATGTCTTTGAATTTTTAAAGTTATGTGTTTTTACTTCCGATAATTTTTCAAACATCATCTTTAAAGGTGCATGGACACAGATTTGAAGTTAATATCTTCTGTATAGTTTCACGACTTATATATTTTAATAGCATTTTACACAAAAATATAATAAAATTTCTATTTCATCTTAAAGTTGACTTTTGAGACTTTTTGAATTGAATTTTAAATTAAAGAGTTAGCCTTCCTGGCTGAGGATCGGAGTTCCTGAAGCAATTATGCAAATTTGTCAACAATACACTTTCTGAAGTTGCTTAAAACAAAGCATATAAATATAATACGTGAACCAAGCTGCAGCTTGCTGTGACAGAGTTCACCTTTTAGAATTTTGTACCTTTTGGCAAGACCTAACACCCTCTCTACATGTATGCGCTTGGATGCCACACGCCGATCATGAACGACCTCGTGGGCATCAAGCTGAGACTTTCCTTTTAGAAACGTTGGGGTGTTTACTTGAACGTCATTATTTGCAAAAAGATCTTGAACCATAATCCCCCTATCAGCCATAATGCTGTCACCTTTTTTAAACATACCCTTGTTTAACAACTCAGATCTTTCAATGATCATTCTATCACTTGCAGATCCTCCATATGCATCTGAAACATAAGATACTGCACCCCTTGGTGTAACACCAATCATTGCTTTGATTGTGTTTCTGTGTTTGTAATTAGACCAGGTAATAGACTGAGAATTTACATCAGATGGTTTTTGTATGGGGATTTCTGTAGCATCTAATATTACTCTCGTACTGGGAAATTTTTCATCAAAATTGGTGGGCATAAAATCTTGAACAATATCTTCAGAAGGCCAGAAATTTAGTTCTTTCAATTGAAAATACAAACAAGAGGCCCATGGGCCACATCGCTCACCTGAGCACATCTACTAGGGAAAAGCACATATCAGATCAAAACTGAAAGTTTACTGGGGGGGAGGGGCTTGAATTTTAACCCTCCTGGGTGTCATGATTTGAACAATGTACAATCTTATTAACACTACCTGAGGATGATTCCATATAAATAGAAAAATATCACTAATCATGGCTTTGAAGTACTTGAAAAGAAGATTTTAAAAGGTTTCCCTATATATCCTTATGTACAACTTTGGTCAGCCATTTTGGGCCCAAAACTAGCCCCAGAGATCATGATTTGAACAAGCTTGAATTTTCACTACCTGAGTATAATTTCATTTCCTGGCCCAAAGGTTCTTGAGAAGAAGATTTTTAAATTCTTTCCTATATATTCCTATGTAAAACTTTGGTCAGCCATTTTGGCCCCATCCTAGCCCTGGGGGTCATGATTTAAAGAAACTTGAATCTACAATACCTGATGATGATTCCACATGAGTTTCATCTTTCCTGGCATAGTGGTTCTTGAGAAGAAGATTTTTAAAGATTTTTTCTATATATTCCTATGTAAAACTTTGGTCAGCCATTTTGGCCACACCCTAGCCCCAGGGGTCATGATGTGAACAAACTTGAATCTACACTACCTGAGGATAATTTCATTTAAGTTTCATAGTTCCTTTCTCAATGATTCTTAAGAAGAAGATTTTTAAAAGATTTTTCCTATATATTCCTATGTAAAACTTTGCTTGGCCATTTTGGCCCCACCCTAAACCCGGGGGTCATGATTCGAACAAACTTGAATCCACACTACCTGAGGATGATTTCCACATGAGTTTCATCTTTCCTGGCCCAGTGGTTCTTAAGAAGAAGAAGATTTTAAAAGATTTGTTCTATGCATTTCTATGTAACTTTGGTCGGCCATTTTGGCGCCACCCTAGCCCCAGGGGTCATGATTTAAACAAACTTGAATCTACACTACATGAGGATGATTCCACATGAGTTTCATTTTTCCAATTCCAGTGGTTCTTGAGAAGAAGATTTTTAAAAGATTTTTCTTATATATTCCTATGTAAAACTTTGGTCGGCCATTTTGGCCCCACCCTAGCCCCAGGGGTCATGATTTGAACAAACTTGAATCTTCACTACCTGAGGATGATTCCACATGAGTTTCATCTTTCCTGGCCCAGTGGTTCCTAAGAAGAAGATATTTAAAGATTTTTCCTATATATTCCTATGTAAAACTTTGGTCGGCCATTTTGGCCCCACCCTTGCCCCGGGGGGCTTGATTTGAACAAACTTGAATCTACACTACCTGAGGATGTTTCCACATGAGTTTCATCTTTCCTGGCCCAGTGGTTCTTGAGAAGAAGATTTTTTTAAAAAGGTTATTAATTTTTCACTAATTCATAATTATCTCCCCTTGGAAGAGGGCGTGGCCCTTCATTTGAACAATCTTGAATCCCCTTCACCCAAGGATACTTTGTGCCAAGTTTGGTTGAAATTGGCCCAGTGGTTCTTGAGAAGAAGATGAAAATGTGAAAAGTTTACGACAACGCCAACGCCGACAACGCCAACGACAGACGACGGACAAATTTTGATCAGAAAAGCTCACTTGAGCCTTCGGCTCAGGTGAGCTAAAAATTAATCCAAGTAATGACAATTCTTGAAACAGTGGAAGTGGAAACTTGAAAAAACAGAGACAATTCAAAGTCTTCTTTGGCCTGCCTTAACTTCATTAAAGTAAGAAAAAGCTGGTCCTTAGGTTCAAGTACAGAACATTTGTAATCGAGCTCATCTACACATGGACCAAGACAATAAAACAATGTCATGAACTGGCCATAATCACTGAAACCTGTATAGTATGAAATTGCATCTGGATTGTCCTTAAAATTCTCAGTGGAGCATTTTTTTGAAAAAGGATTCTTAACTAAAGAAGCTTCCTCTGGCGTTGCTTGTGGTGATGGTGCTTCCTCGTTTTCTCTCTGCTCTATGACAACTTCCTGCTGTACACTGATAGCTTGAAGGTCTGGCTCCTCAAGTTCTTGCTTCCTCCGAGACATTCTTTGTTGCCTTGGGCTTGGAGTAGGAGGGTCATGATCAGGAATAAGAATAGATGGCACTGCATCATCTTTTAGATGGAGGTGATCAGCTGTTGAAAAAATGTTTATTTATGACACTTTTTGATTAATATACATGTATTATTTATATATATATATATATATATATATATATATATATATATATATATATATATATATATATATATATGAAACACATCATAATAATGAAAACATGCACGTGATGATTTATTAGTTGGATAGTTATCATAGTTTAGAACTTTTCAATAGGCTAAATAAGAATAAACACACATGATTTTAAAGATCAGATTTAAGTAAGACTACATGTAAGACTGCACATGCATCTGTTTATCAAATGATAATAATAAAAAAAGTGATTGAACTTATCTTTTTGGAATCTTTTGTTGGTCTATATCTGCTGCGCTGAAATAAATAAAAATAACACAAAGCAACAGGAACTAGGTAAACTTAACTAAGTAAAACAATATGAAGAACCACTATCAATATTCAAATTGTTAATGTTAATCAACAGAAGAAAATTGAAATTTATTGGCAGTGGTTGATCAGTCATAAATTCAAATATTAAGAAAACTTTATTTTGACAAACAAAATGACCATTGTGCAATGAACCGTACTGAGTACTTATGTATACACTAGAAAACACTCCTCCTTTCCGAAGAGTTTGAAGCATTATGTATTAATTTTATCATCTCAAAGTGCATAAAGGTCTTATCGTAAATAAAAACACAAAATTTAAAACAAACTAACAAAGTTAAGTCAATATTTACGTTTCCTAACCTGACGTGTCCTTGTAATCGCTTGCAACAAAATGCAGGTCGCAGACAACGTCTCTGTCATTAGGCTCCCAGAGTTTTTTAGTTCGCGGGTCAAGCCGTTTTATGGCAATTCTCCACTGCAACCGACGTTGTTTATTTTTTGGAAACTGGTGTCCACCATAATTACAACAAAACGGCACAGAACAGCGCTGAGGCATAACGTAATCCGCAGTCGATCAGCATGTAAACATAAAGATTCAAGCGTCTCAAACGCACAGATAACCACCCATAGGTTTGGTGTGTAAAATCCGGAACCAAAACCGGCGAGTAATTACCATTGTATTTCATAAAATTAACAATAGGTAAATAACAAGTGAATATAAATTTCCCCATGTCAGACTGCTATACAAGAGGTCATGATTATATTAAAGCAATTTTAACAATAAATAACTTGCTTTCAGTGCATTAATTATATTTTATTTCCTGAATTTTACCATTAAAAATAGAACCCCTGAATTGTTGTTCATCGACGAGCAAAACATGGAGGATAAAAGCAATTTAAAATTAAGTGCATAGTCTAAATATCCTACTTGTCAAATTATCATCAAGCCTAAACAACATTCAAAGATGCCATAAACTAAATTTATAAAGTTTCAATTCTGATATTGTCTTGACGGACAGAAATATCTTTGTTGTTCTTGATCCCACTTACCTTTTATGAAATCGATTTACAGGTAATAAAATATTTAGTCAATTAGTGGGCTAAAACTGAAGTGAAAGTCAAGTGTTTTTCTTACCTGGAAGTTGAATGTTAAAACTAATCAACAAAACCAAATCCGGAAAACAATCACTTGTCAGATCGCTCAGCAAATGCTCGGATAATTTCGGGGTATAGAAAAAATCGTGATAAAATATTAGATATTAAATCAATCTAGTAAGTGCAATCGACCCTAGTTTTAATATATCGATCATAGCTATCCGTATCGACATGTAATTTCGAGAGTTACCCCCCTGTCCCGATCTGAATATTGAATCTATGCCCACTATGGTGCGGAAGGCTTGGCGGCGATTCCCCCCACCGCCCCCCCCCCCCCGGCCATTTAACTATGTATTTTAAATACATTTTATCTACTTAGATCCTATATTTGTAACTAAGACCCCAGCTTACAAGCTTTACATAATGTCCACGCTAACCCCCCCCCCCCCCAAAAAAAAAATCCACTAACATCGGGGACAGTAGGCTAACTATACCTAATCCTAGCATAAAAGCTGAAAAAAACGCTTTTAAAAATGCCTTCTCCAAATCAGTTAATATTTTCAATGACTGTTTCAAATTTATAATACACAACAACAAGCTGGAAAATTTTACCGACCCAAGATGATGCTGGAATATTGAAAAAGGAAGTTGCAACCAAAGCGCCCTCAGGTGTTTTTATTAAAAGGGGAAATAATCAACTAAATATTTGACAAGAACAATAATCACTAGAAATAAGTAATGAGATTTAGGTAAAGCAATTATGCACTTTTTTCGATAAAAGCAGCTAATTCAGAGTGAATTAGCTTTGAATAAAAATATAGACATCAAGATTATTTGATATATTTTTCAATAGTTGTGATTGTACATTGTATGTTTACACTTATTTTTCTATCATTTTATTATTAGGTCTTGCCACCTTTCTCTGGAAAGACCTATTGATTGTCTTCTTTTCCTTTCCTTATTAGGTCACCTGAGTAAACTCAGGTGACCTATTGCTATCTGTTTTCGTCCGTCGTCGTGCGTCGTGCGTTAACATTTGAACATTTTCAGCTTCTTCTCTGCAACCACTGAACCAATTTCAACCAAATGTGGCACAAAGCACCTATGGGTGAAGGGGAACACAAATTGTGAATTTCATGATCCCTGCCCCCCTGGGGCTTGAGGGGTGGGGCCAAAACCACTAAAATTAATGCAATCTTGAAAAATCTTCTTCTTTACTCCTGGACATCAAGCAGTCAAACTGTTTGCATGATTGTAATTAGCAATGAGTCCTCTACCAAAATTGTGAAATTCATGGCCATGGGGTCAGGGGTTCTAGTGCTAGGGCGGGGCTAAATAAGTAGGTAGTGAAAATGCAATATTTCTTTGAAAATCTTCTCTGCTCCTGGGTATTAAATAAACCAACTAAGTACATAGTTATGATGAGCAAGAGTGCCTCTACCAAAATTGTGAAATTCATGGCCCTGGGGTCAGGGGTTCTGGTGTTAGGGCGGGGCTCTATTGATGATATAGTGAAAATACATGAATTCTTTGAAAATCTTCTTCTCTGCTTCTGGGTATTAAATAAACTAACTAAGTACATAGTTATGATGTGCAAGAGTGCCTCTACCAAAATTGTGAATTTTATGGCCCCAGGGTCAGGGGTTCTTGTTTTAGGGTGGGGCTCTAATGATTATATAGTGAAATGCATGTATTCTTTGAACATCTTATCCTTTGCTCCTGGTTAATATACTAATGATCTAATTACATATTTAAGGGCAGGATTTATTTTATTTTCAGTTTTACAAATCCTCCGCTCAAGGTTTTGAATTTTCAGAAAAAAATAAAACAATTTTTTTCTTTCCTATGTCAAATTTGAGTCGGGATCGATATTTCAAATTTACGAACTCGCACTTCCGGTTTTAAGATGAAACGGCGGGTAAATAAAGCTAGATCTGAGAAGATAACTTGGTTTAGTGTAAAATTCATCGATACGAGTGCCATTCAAAACGTTATACCTGTTCAAAGGACAAATAAAATGCTGACGACTTTGTTGAACAATGGCATGCTGGTGAGATAATTATGTATTCGTTTCAAAAGTATCTGTTAATTATTTTTGTCCCCAAGGTTTTAAACTGCCTGTGGTAGCTATTGCATGTTGCCAGCGACATTGTTTAGGTCTCTGTTATAGCTTACAGTCTAAGCATCATTCTTCAGAAAAGGGGTTGCTTATGCATCAGATGTAATGAATAAAACTTCAGGAGAAGTTAAGTCCATTTGAGGAAGAAATAAACAATAACCAGAAGAAATAAAACAAAAAAGATTTAACTATTAAAAGGCAAGAATATACAAATATATACAGGCATGTAGTATCATTTGTATAAGACAGAAAAATTGTTTTACACTTAATTGAAAACATGTTTACCCTACTCCCCAATACTCCCTGTCTGTTTTATGATAGGAATTATAATTTTAGGCAACAAGTAAATTTTAGAACAATGTCTATACATTTACCTAACACATATTTAAAAAATGAAGATATATTGAAATACTTTTAAAGAATTGATTTTTAAAATATATTTTGACCAACATCACAAAATTTATATAACTGGCCCAAACTGGCAGATGATGAAATAAGCAATTATATGTTCTACTTTCCTATTTGTAAGCATTATGTGTCCAGTGGTAAGGAGCCTATTAGAATAGCATAAAAAAAGAATGTACAAATGTTAATAATTGATTTATAAAAAAAAAAATTATTTCCTTCTCCTTCGGGACTTTTTTTATTCTCATTTCATAACTAAACCTAAACATAAAAAAAATGCTGGCCTTATAATGAAGAAAGGGGCCTTTTTCAAAATAGATAATTTTAGGGCCGCTGGGTCAGGGGTACCAGGGGGTACTTTGACTAAAATAAATTAATGCTTTGAAATCTTTCCTTTGATAAGCAATGGTGGCTCCTTCAAAATTTGTGAATTTCATGGCTTTTTATTAAAACACGAACCAAATACAATCGCTGGAAAGTTGTTACATGATACTCAGGTGACCTATAAGGCCCGTGGGCCTCTTGTTTATTAATTTTCCCTCGCATGTTTTTGAGTTTCAAGATTTATCGAAAAGATTTATAGTCTATGAGAATGTACCCCGTAAAAGATTTTTGCAGTTGACCTTGCTTGAACTTTGACCCCTTACGGGTTAATTACCCCTTTCTCTTGTCATTGCTACTCCGCCGAAACTGTAAACCGTAGAGAAATCAAACCTTCACTAGAGTCTTTGACCAATTCAGTGGACAGTTGAAGATTTCATATGCGAGAGTATTTGTTGATCCCTTATTTGATTTATTGCCCTGAAAGTCTTTTGGTCACCTGAGAAATTCGGGTGACCTATTGCTATCTGTTTTCGTCCGTCATCGTGTATCGTGCGTCGTGTGTTAACATTGGAACATTTTGAGCTTCTTCTCTGAAACCACTGAACCAATTTCAATCTAATTTGGTATAAAGCATCTATGGATGACGAGGAACAAAAATTGTGAATTTTATGGTCCCCGCCCCCCTGGGGCCTGATGGATGGGACCGAAACCACTTAGATTATTGCAATCTTTAAAAATCTTCTTCTTTGCTCCTAGACATCAAGCAGGCTAACTATTTCTATGAATGTAATAAGAATTGAGTCCTCTACCTTAATTGTGAAATCCATGGCCCCAGGGTCAGGGATTCTAGTGCTAGGGCGGGGCTATATAGATTATATAGTGAAAATGCATGTTTTCTTTGAAAATCTTCTTTTCTGCTCCTGAGATTTAATTAAGTAAACTAAGTAAGTACATAGTTATTATGAGAAGAGTGTCTCTACCAAAATTGTGAATTTTATGGCCCAAGGTCAAAGGTTCTGGTGTTAGGGTGGGGCTCTATTGGTTTTACAGTGAAAATGCATTTATTCTTGGAAAATCTTTCTTTCTGCTCCTGGGTATTAAATAAACTAACTAAGTATATAGTTATAATTAGCAAGAGTGCCTCTTCCAAAATTGTGAATTTTGTGGCCCCAGGGTCAGGGGTTCTGGTGTTAGGGCGGGCCCTATTGATTATATAGTGAAAATGCATTAATTCTTTGAAAATCTTCTTCTTTGCTCCTGGGTATAATATTAACTAACTAAGTACATAGTTATGATAAGCAAGAGTGCCTCATCCAAATTTGTGGCCATGGGTTCTGGTTTTAGAACAGAGCTCTATTGATCATATAGTGAAAATACATAATTCTTTGAAAATCTTTTCCTTTTCTCCCGGGTTTTATGCCAATTATCCAAGTATATATATTTATGATGAAGAAAGGTGCATTCAGCCAAATGGTTATTTTCACCTCCCCCCCCCCTCTCCCTGAGTGGGGGTTGAGGGGGATGTTGGTTAAATAGTCTGAAAATAAATAAATGCTTTGAAATCTGCTCTTTGGTATTAATCAACCATTTTATGATAAAATTTGCAAAATTTT